TTGAATTAAAAGAGAATTTTTATATTTTCTAATAGAGACAGTGAATATTAGAGGATATTAGTAAACTTGACTAAAATCGCTAAATTTGGCTTCATTATTAAACTATACTGAAGAAATGTTTTTTACCCCAAATGTGAGCCACTTTCACAAATTGTGTAACTTTTCCCCAAACACTAAAATTTAAATTATTCTTTTTTTTTAAAGAGAGAGAAAGAGAGAGAGAGAGAATTTTAATATTTATTTTTTAGTTATCGGGGGACACAACATCTTTGTTTTGTATGTGGTGCTGAGGATCGAACCTGGGTCGCACGCATGCCAGGCGAGTGCATTACCGCTTGAGCCACATTCCCAGCCCCAAATTATTCTTTTTTTATATTTATTTTTTTAGTTGTAGTTAGACACAACACCTTTATTTCACTTATTTATTTTTTTATGTGGTGGTGAGGATCGAACCCAGGGTCTCGCATGTGGGAGGCGAGTGCTCTACTGCTGAGCTACAACCCCAGCCCCCAAAATTTCAATTATTCTTAATCTTACTAGTTTGTCAATATTGTTTTCTTTAAAACAAAACAAAAAACCTACCAATAACAAAACATGGAGTACTTTTTCTTCTAAACTATACTATATACTGTACTATAGATTTAACAATTTGTGTGTTGTTATACTTGTATCAGAGATTATAGCACAAAAACAAACATATACTAAAAATAAGGTTGTTTTCCATGGTTATATGTTAATGTAAATGAGTTTTTGTGATAAACATTTTACTGGAATTTTTTTGACTTACCATCTGCATTTTAACAGTTTGTGATTATCCAATGTCAAGTCTGGCAAATAGACTGGGGATTGTGCATTGGCTATTATAAGGTAACAGATATTAGATAGTAAATATCTGAATGCCTTAATGCTCTCATAAAAGACACATAAGTAAGTCTATGACAATTGAATTATTTATAAAGTATTCTCAGTACATTTTATGGTGACTTCTTGACTCTCTGCTTCTCTTCTGCTGCTTATTAAAGGTAAGTGTCACTACAAGTGGAAACTTAAAAACAGTATCAACACTGAAATTGCTTCCAATACACTCATGGTGATGTAGTGCTATAAAGCAGGAAACTCCTTTTTTATTTCTAGCCATAATCTCTTAATGCTGATGCTGGCACATGTTTAGGAGCATTTCCCCAGAGTTCCCAAACCTTGCTTGTTTTTAAATCTAATTTCAACATTTATATGCCAAGTTTCAGCCTTGAGGGCAACTTTTTTTTAAATTAATGCATTAGAATTGCTAAAGCAACACTATAATTGTAGAGTTAAAAAATAATTGAGTGAAAAATTGATTCAGCATTTGAGTATTACATGATATATATCAGATAGGATAGTTTCATTCAAATAAACTCTGACCACCTCTCTTTAGGTCCCTTTTGTTGGTTAGGTTAGGTTTGGGGTTGTGGCTCAGAGGTAGAGCGCTTGTCTAGCATGTGTGAGGCACTGGGTTCGATCCTCAGCACCACATAAAAATAAAGATATTGTGTCAACGTATAATTAAAAAAACAAAGTGCAAAAGGAGCAGCAAATCATGTTGATAGAAATAGTATTGAAGGTGTAAAGCTGTTGAGAGGGCACAGGTCACTTGATGTATCTGGGGCCTATTGCTATCCATCCCTTTCTAGAAATATTTATTGAACATCTGTTGTGTGTCAGGCACTATCCTAGGCACATGGGACACAACAGCAGGCAACACATCACTAATATCCTGACAGTGCCAGTGAAACTGGAGTTTTGAGATGAAACTCCATTCCCCACAGTTGCTGACAGGTGAAACCAGAGTTTCTCCCATTCTGCTGGCTGGAGGGGTCTGCGCAGGCGTCTGCAGACTAGAAGTGTTGCAGCTCATAATGGCAGGTCATGCTCACTAGTGTTGCAGCAGATCCTAGCAGCTCACTATCAATTTCTTCTTCTTCTTTCCTAGTTCTTGTCTTGTGAATTTGAAGAATAAAATCCATAGACCAGGATGAGTGAGTGTAACTGTAGGGTTTATTGAAGAATGGGAACAGAACTTTACAGTTCAAGAGTGAGTGATAGTAGGTTTTCTCTGTCCAAGTGTGCTAGTCTAGGGCCTTATATAGTAGTACTTGGTTCACTGCTGTGGGCCCAAACTTATGCTAATTAGGGTTTGAAAAAAGTGCCAATGCTATTGGCCTGAATTTATGCTTATTAGAGCTTAGAAATTTAGAAACTTACTAACACTATTGGTCAATTCTTTTTTTTTTTTAAGAATGTATTTTGACATTATACATATATGGAGTATAACTTCCCATTCTTCTGATTATACATGATGTGGAATTACATTGGTCATGTATTTATATGTGAATATAGGGAAGTAACATCTTATTTATTTTACTGTTTCTTATTCCCATTCCCTCTCCCTTCTTTCCCTTTTGTCTATTCCAAAGTACCTCTATTTTGCCCTCCCCCACCCCCCCTTGTTGTGAGTCGGCATCCATATATCAGAGAGAGCATTCAACCTTTGGTTTTTTGGGGATTGCTTATTTCACTTAGCATGATAGTCTCCAGTTCTGTCCCACTTCCATTTTATGGTGGCAGGCCAAAAGTGCAGAGTGTGCTTCTGCAGTAGGCATCCCCACTGCGTGTGGGCCATGCTTGCCACTTGTGCTTCAGTTGGTCGCCGCTCCACTGCTCCACCTCTCCGCTGCTGCTTCTTGGCAGGGCCAGTAGGCCTGCTGATCCTTGGCAGCCAGGGAGCTGTGTCACCAGTAATTACAGTGAAGGAAATATACGCCAGTTGCCAGTAGTTACACTGAAAGAATAATATAAATGGATAAAGAATGATTGAGTGTGTAGAGAAGTGGTTTAGAGAAGGTGCTAAGGACATCCCATCTGAGTTGACATTTGATTAGGGGCCTGAATATAGTGGGAGAAGTATACCCTGGGAAGATATAGGGGGTGGGGGGAGTTTTCCAGATCAAAGAGCAGAGATCTTCAAGGAGGACTATGGGTATGGCTGAGTTAGGTAGGCAAGTGAAGTTGTGTGAAGCTTTGTGGACTTTGGTGAGTAGAGTGTATTTTATTTGATGTGTGATGAGGGGTGATTGGGGTATTCTGAGAAAAATTTAATTTGTTGGAAGATAATTGTTGCCTTTTTTAATGGAAGCACATATCTATTAATATACTTAAACACCATTGAACTGTATGCTTTAAATGGGTGGCTGTATGGTGTGTGAGTTAATTAAAAATTAAAATGATCACAGTTGCTGTGTGAAGATTAGATTGAAGGCAGTCAAGAAGAGAAGAAAGCCAGTTGAATATTTTCAGTAGGTTTGATGGTTAATTTTGTGTCAGAATTAACTTGACAGTGACATGGAGCTCTTAGATACTTGGTCAAACATAATTCTAGGTTTGTTAGTGAGGGTGTTTTTAGATGCAGTTAACATTTCAGTCAGTAGGCTGAGTAAAGTATATTGCTTCCCCTGTGGTGGGCCTTATCCAATCAGTTGAAGGCTTAAATAGTACAATCAAGCTGACTCTGCTAGTAAGAGGGAACTCCTCCTACCTGAGCTGAGATACTGTCCCCCTGCCCCCTTTCTTTTTTTTCTACTTTTGGACTTGAATGGAATGATTGGCTTTTCTTAAGTCTTGAGCTTATTGGCTTTCAGATTGGAACACACATAATACCGTCCCCTCTCCTGATTCTCAGGCTTTCAGACTTGGACTAGCACTGCAGTGTCAGCTCTGCTTAGTCTCCTGCTTGATAACTCAAATCGTGGGAATTCTCAGTCTCCATAATTCCTTGTTATAAGACTCTTTCCATAGACATCCCATTGGTTCTGTTTCTCAGAGAGCCTTACTAACACAGTTATGCAGGCAAAAGGGAGGTGGCTCAGGGACAGTTGAGAAGTGGTTGGAGTTGCCAAATGCTTTGATGGAAGAAAGTGTGCAGAAGCTGCTAATAGACTGAGGGTGTTGGGGGTTTTGCATCAGTACTTTATTGAGACAATAAATTGGGGGTGGAGGAGTGTTGGTGGTGCCAAGGGGTGAATCAAGAGAAAACATATGGAGAGTGAGGCACTTGCAAAACGTTATAGTTTGGTAAATTTAAGAAAAAAAGTAAACAGTGTCTATTTTAAATGATGTTCCCTGGCAACATCGTGGAAGAGATTAAAGAGACATTTTGTGATTTAAATTTTTTTTTTTTTTTTTTTGGTCAGGAAACAAGGTAATCACTAGAAGCCAATCTTGTCTACAAAAAATGAAATGCTCAGTTTTAATGAACCAAAATGTTTAAATTCATGCAGACCTAAGTAAGGCTTCTGGCCATTTGTCTTAAGGATTTATATTATCCTGTTTATGTTAAAAAAAAGAGTGAAAATGTGGAAAATACTGTCTAATTTATAGGTGTTATAGCAATGAAGTTTAGCTGGTATACTAGGTATCAAAATCTGGAATTAAAAATGATCTGGATGGGCCCAAGTCTCCAAAAGAATATTTATCAGGAATAGATATTAAGTGTATTTTAGTTGAAAGAAAGATTATATGAGTCCATAATCTTGCAATTTAAGCCTTTATCTGAGAACTTCACTGATATGATCACATGATTTTCAATTCAGATTCTTCTATATTCAACTTATCTTGCTTGACTAGACTGTGGTTCATTTAAACTCATATGTAAAATCTGAAATCAGTGCCCCTGGGTATTGCTCCATAGGATCAATTAATCACAGTATAAGATAGATGCCACAATGAAAAGTACCCACACCTGTAACAAGAGAAGTTAGGTGACTTCTCTTAATTTGTGATCCACTTAGTCTATACTAGAAACTCTTAACATAAATCACCCTGTCTTTTTATCAGGAAACCCTCATGATAACACTTTTATCCTCATTTTATGAGCTCAACGTTAGTGAACCTTTGAGTGATAATTGGTTACATGCTGGAGGTACAGATGCTTCATACTAAGAAGGAAGAACATAACACACAGGACCTGTCTCTAAGGAGGCATTTATTTGTGGTGGTAGAACAATGACCTTCAAAGATGTCTGCATTATAAACCACAAACATCATGATTATCTTACTAGGTGAGGGAGAATTAGGTCACAGATGGGAGGGAGTAAGGTTGCTAATCCACGGACCTTCAGATGAGGAGAGTGTCCTGCATGATCCGAGTGGGCTCACTGTCATCTGAGACATCCTTATAAGAGGAGGTGAGCTTCAGAAGAAAGAGATCCAGGTAGACAGCAGTGTGAGAAAGACTTGGCCTGAGGCAACTTGTTTTGAAGGTGGAGGAATGGAACCTTGAGCCAAGGAATGTAGGTGTTCTTCAAAAACTGAAAAAGCAAGGAAATGCATTTTATACTAGAATGCAACAGAAGGACAATAGCCCTGTAGATATCTTAATTTTAGCTCAGTGAGACTGATTTTGGACTTACAACATTTAGAATGGTAAAATAATATAATGGGTTGTTATAAACCACTAATTTGTCACAGCAGAAATAGGAAACAATACAGGGGTTATAAATAACACAGAACATATATTCAAGAGTTGTGCTGCTATATTTGAATCCCAGCTTCATAAGTTAATGTATGATCTTGGACAGGCCATATAAGCCTCAGTTTTCCTGTGTATAAAATGGGGACAGTGAGACTTCACAATGTTTTTTGGATGAGAATTTGGAAAAGATAATTTGTTTACTCCCTGACATAAAGAACTCAATAGATAGTAGCCTGGGGGAAACTAGCTATTCAGTTGAAGGCATCATTTGAGGGACAAGATGTGTGGAGAAAATAAGGGACATTTAAAGAGATGATGTGAGGAGCAAGTGGAAGAACTGGGGCAGTAGCTGAGGGGATCATGTGAAGTGATTGAGTTGTACTGCTATATTTGAATCCCAGGTGGGTAGGTGGGTTTAGAATCGATCAGTGTTTTACATTTACAGTGAGAGAGTCTTTGGACTTTCATGACTTAGGTTTGAAAAATGATTGAAAAATGAGTCAGCCTCATGAAGCAGCAAGTCCCCAGGACTGGAAAAGTTTTAACAGGGCTGAGGATCCAGGAACATCATCTGCAAAAGTGATTCCTAAAGGGTGGGTGGAAGCTGCAGGGAAGAAGTGCCAGTTCCCTGCAAGCTCTCTAGTCTTGCCATGTAGTTTTCATTCCTTAAATATGCTTTATCGTTCATAAAGTCTGTTTTAACATCATTATAACATGGCCTTTTTTTTTTTTTAATGGCAAATTGCTGGCTTTACTTTGGAGCACAGAATGTGGATAATTTGAGGACAGAGTTTTAAGGATCTGTTTCAATGCTTTTTTAAAGAGGAAGTGCATTTTTTAATTACTTCACTTTCAATGTAAGGTTTAATTTGAATAAACTAAAGGACTGTCACTTGGTTCATGTTGCAGTTTGACAAAGCCTGTTATTGCCCTTGTGTAGCTAGTTAAGTGTAATCTGAGTTAATTAAACATTTCAGTAACCAGCCTCTACCAGTCACTCAGCCCTTCTTTAGGCTTTCAGCTGCCCTGACTTGCCAATTCTCAGCTCTGCCTTGCTTGGTGTGGTGGTTTTTTTCTCCTGCTCTGCCAAGCACACTGGCAAAAAAATCAGTCGCCACCCTGCTGGCATCGTTACCATGCATAATCTCCTGGGCCCTCAGTGTCTCTTGGCAGTTCCTTTATGCTTTCCTAGTTGGCCCCTATTCCTATTTTTATAGGTTACAGATCTTCACTATTCTCCTGTCTTTGACTCCCTTGCTATCAGCAATGACCAGACCTTTTTCTTTGTGGAGAAATAGATAACCAAGGAAAGCCTTTTTGAAAAAGGATCAGAGTAGTTACTTATTTCTCTCACAGTTAACTTGGATTTCTGATGAATGTTTACCTGTATGTTATAGTCATCAAATGTAGGTGTAACTTGACAGATTGCATTTATTATTAGCTAAACCATAAGACAGAGGATGATTTTGCCAAAATAATAAATTAAAAAACAAGTGCTAACTGATCAGATTGTGACTCAACTGCTTTCTTAGTGGGAACTGTATAATTAAAATGCAAGTTGGAATATATTTTAATTACTTCTCTACTTATAAGTTGCTTTAAAATAACTTTGATTGATCACTGTTAATATCATGTGAATGGAATTCAAGTACTTTTGACAGTTTGTCTACTAGTGAAGTCCATAATCCCTAGGTGTTCACATGTACAGTAAAGAGAAACTCTCCTTGTTATGGTTTGGATATCAGATGTCCCCCTAAAGCTCCTGTGTTATGAAGAGATATTCAGAGCTGAAATTATTGGATTATGAAAGCTGTAACCTACTCAGTCCAGCCAATTTGAATGGACTAACTGGTGATAACTGTGGGTAGATGGGGTGTGGCTGGAGGAGGTGGGCCACTGGGAATGTGCCTTAGAAGGCTGCATCTGCCGTGTGCTTCACCCCACAACCTCCCAGCTGCCATGAGCTGAGCAGCTTTCCTTTACCATACCCTTCCACCATGATGTTCTATCTCACTTCAGGCCCAGAGAAATCTAATTGACCCACGATGGACTGAACCTCTGTAACCATGAGCCAAAATATACTTTTCCTCCTCTAAGTTCTTTTTGTCAGATATCTTGGTCATAGTGACAAAAAACTAACTAACATGGCTGTAAGTCCTATTTCATAATACTTACTCACTTTGTTTGCCAAAAACATTGTTGTTTCCAAAGCCTTGTGTCATTGGGGGATCTCCTTCCTGTGCCTTCCATGATGTAGTAGGTCTGAGATGGAGCTCAAGATTGTACATTTCTAATAGCTCCCAGGTGAGGCCAGTGCTTCTGTTCTGTGGACTTGGCATTCAGTTGTAGGTGCTAGTAATGCAGTTGTATATCATCAGCCTTACCTGGGGGATGACTGCATAGCTCCCCTCTCATGTTTGATGTGGCTAGTTGGGTCCAGTGTCTGCAAACCATTATTTTAAGATATGGACTCAGTTGAATTTCTCTGCTTCAGAGGTTATCTACAACCTCTTGATTGCTGACACTTAACTGCTAAGAATTTTAACACTGTCAATTCCAGGGCAAGAGGCAGTGGCTTGGGTGATGCATCACAAATAGGAAAGAAATTGGAATCACCAGGTCTCTTGGCCTCAGGTTAAATTGATCTATATCATCATGTCCTCAGGTTCAAAGGGGTTAACAGTCTCTCTATTGAAAATTTTTTGCGTAAAGTAGACACAGGCCTTTTCTGGGAATTGCAGGCCTAAATAATCATGAGAAGTATATTTGGTTGATTGATGGGGAGAATTTCTGGATAATACTCAAAACAGTCCTTGATCTTGTACACTCAGGAAACTTTTGCAGAAATGGATCTAACTGGTTCAGTCTTCTAAGTGGACATAGAATAGACTGATAAACAGGAAGGACACAGGAATTGATGGTATTGACATCAGACTCTTTAAGTCAGTAAATGTTGCTGGAATTGAGAAATAGTTTTCAGACATAGATCAAATTCAGAGCATTGGCAGGAAAACAAGTTCTAAAGATGAAATTGAGGGTGTGGTTGTAAAATCCTAGAAAGATCCAAGTAGCTTCCTAGAAGGATCCAAGGTGGTGCCTGGAAGATCTGTCCAACACAGCAGAAGGCTTCTAAGAAGCTTCAGGGTATTGTCCCTTCATCTTCTCAGAAGACCAGGTAGAGAAGGGCTTCTTCTCCAGAGATTCATGAGTGAGTGAGGTGTTTGTCTAATGAAGTGAAGTCTAGTAAGATTCACAGAAGATCTAGAGGATCTTTGAGAGAATTGTATTTGCAGAAACACTGCCAACTTAGACTGAAAGAGACAGGATTATAAAATTAAAACTCCTTTGATTCCCCCAAATCTCTGTGGGAAAGATAAGAAGTAGACTGAGAAAGCTACACAGCTGCAAATTCAAGCTACTTTCCAAGGAAACGGGAAGATGATTTTTAGGGTGGAACGATGACTCTTGAGTGTGGAGCCAAAACCCATGGACTCTGCAAGACCCTGGTCTGTGTCCTAATAAAGGAACTTCCAGCCTGTGCCTTGTGGAATTTGAGAATTCCTGTTGGATCAGTGTGGCTCAGGTGTGTCTTTCATTTCTCCATACTTTAAAATGGACTATCTATCCTGAGGGTAGTACACCTGTCCCATCATTGTATACTGAGAATAGGGGAGGATAAGCAATTTCCTTTTTGTTTATTGACAGTCCGGTTGAGAGAAACTCAAGAGCTGTACTTAAGGAATAATACCTCAGGAGACTCTGCTGCACACCTGAATCTGACTTAGATAATAAGGTTCTGGACTTTGAACTCATCTTGTAAAGAGATGAGAATTTTGGGCACCTTAGGAGGCAGTATTGAATTTTATATCTGGGCAAGACATGGATTACTGGGTTCCAGAGAATGAAATGTGGAAGCCAGTCCTTGAGTATGCCCCTAGTGATTCTCACCTGGTATTCATGTTCTTGTGTAATTTCTGCATCATAGTGCTGACCTTTGTAACTAATAGAATATTGAGCACATGATGGAATGTGACTTTGAATGGTAGGGCATAAGACATTGCACGTTCATCTTGCTCTCTCTTGCACCATTGCTTCTATCAAGAGGTTCTATGGAGATGTCCATTTGGTAAAGAACTGAAGTTTCCTGTCAACAAGCAGTGCTGATTTTTCAGCCATATGAGCCAGTCACCTTGCAGACAACCCCAAGCCCCAACAAAATCTTTGGATGACTTCAGTCCTAGATGACATCTCAAGTACAACTTGGTGAGAGATCCCCCAAGTTAGAATGATCCAGTTATGGCCAGTCCCAAATTTCTAATAACTCTGAAATGATGTGAAATTATAAATGTCCATTGTTTAGGAGGTTAAGGTTTGGAACAATTTGTTATGCAGCAATAGATAACTAATAGAGGTACTATGCAGAACTAATACAAACCCAAGAGTCTTTGTAGAGTTTTTTGTCTTCCTTATAGTTAGTTAGCATTCAGTTCTTAATAATTAATCAGGAGAGATAATTGATAATGAATCAGGTGGAGTAGATTTTGGAGAGAAAATCTTGTTTATGTTTCTGCCTTTATTCATACTCACAGAAAAATTTTTAAATAAAAGGATTTAAATAGATAACTTTAGGATTTATTTTTTAAAAAATTTACTAAGAAGCTGCTCTTGGTACTGAAAGTGTAGGGATTAGACATGTTGGCTTTTGAGTATTTTATGTAAGTTGGGTTATGAAGTATTTATGTGACAGATTGGGTGAGGGAAGGGCTTCCCTCCCCTTACAGAGAGAAGTGTTTGTCCTTGTAATGGGTTACAGATCCACACTCTACTTGTTACAACACATAGGGAAGATGGGGCCAGAAAGATTAACTAAGATTTCCAAAGCCATGCAGTTGGTTAGTGGTGAGCTAATTTGGAGTTCTGGCTACCAGTCCAATTAGATAAGATTTGTTTCCACTTGTCATCTATTTTTACTCTCATTTTTGGTAACTTCAAGTAAAAATGGTTCCATCAAATGAGGACTAAATACTTTCCTGGGTATGACTAAGTATGGCTTCCTGATGTTTCAACAGACATGAAAATTTTATACTTTTGTATATTCCCTGAGGCAGCTCTCTGCCTGGGTCTTTTGAAATAGCAAAAATAAATTAACAGTGGGCTCAAGTCTAGTAAGCACAATGTAGGTTAGTTCTGATCTAAGTACAGGCTGTTCCTGTTGTATAGGCTCTGTGTGACTTTATTTACCAGGTTTTCTGCTTGAAGTCAACCATTTAAAAGATATTCTGCTTTTTGGTTCAGATAGAGGATTTACATAAGACTAACATGTAATCGTTAATTGTATTTTTTCTTGAATATTGTCTCGAGGTGTAGTCACTTTAGATTTTAAGTGGTTTCTCCTTAAAGACTTAGATGGGTTTTGAGGAATGTGTGGCTTTATTTGTCCTTGTCAACCTGTACATATTGTCAACTAGATGAATGTTGATAATACTTCTATAAAATATGTGAAGAATTGTTTTGACTTGAAGTTCCATAAGTTTACTTTGAGTTTAAAGTATTATAATATGTTAGTTAAAACAAAGTTTTTTTTTTTTTTTTGCTGTGCTAAAGCCTTGCACATGCTAGACAGGTGCTCTACCACTGAAGTACATCCCCAGCCCAATAGTTTATAATACCTTAAACATTCAGAGCCAAATTAAGTTGATGGGAAGTCTTCTATCAGTTTATTTTTCCATTTATTATATGAAATTGTTTCCTGTAGAATTTGGAGTATTGGTGAACCAAACTATTTGTTTTCCTCTGCTCCTCAGTGGCCAGTTTTAGACCATAATCATGTATCATCTGGTAATTACAGATAGTATAGTTTCTAGAAATTGTGTATTCAACACTACAATTACCTTTTGTTTCTCCTGGAATTTTGCCAATAAATTATTTCTTCTTTTTTCTACATAAAGTCAAATTAAAGTCACATTCAGTGTCTCTCATTGAGTTACTCAACTTTTGACTTAAATTTTTTTTTTTTTAATCTTTGGAATCATCTTATTTAAAATGATTGATGGATTTCAAATTCTAGCTAGGTAGTTTGCAGTGCCTTTTACTAAGAACATACTAGAATGATCTACCACCTCTATGAACAGAGATTGATTTATGATGCCCCTTACTTCTCTAGCCATCAGCATTGCTTTTCTCTTGTCACCCCTCCTCCTGCACTTTCCCTAACTCCCCTCACTCTCCAGGAACCCAAGCTGTTCAGTTTGCTTCTTATCTCTCCTTTCTTTTTCTAATCATTCCCTCTCCCTTTGCCACACCATTCTTACTTTCCTTACTGTGGGAATGAATATCTTCTGGTCCCTGAACTCCTGGGGAGGGAGGTGAGGTTTCAGGGAGGCAGACAGCTTAGAGGAGGTGTTGCCCACATGCTGAAGTAGACCAGCAATAAGTGTTGTCTGGTGAGGGGAACACTCCTGTACCCCAAATCCCTGACAAAGCAAAGACCAAGAGCTTACATAGGATCATCCCACATCGGCCCCACAAAGTGCTTTCTTTTTTAAAATTAATTAATTAATTAATTATTTTTTTATTATTAGTTGTTCAAAACATTACATCTTTGTTAAGAGTAGTAGAGATGAAGCCCAAGCTAATTTTGGTAACCAAATGTGTGTGGTTGAAATGCAGCTGATTGTAAAATAGGACACATAGTAGTCCGTGTTTGTACAGCAATTTACATTAATGAGAAGCATTGGTTTGTGAGTGAAAGGTTTGGGTTTTGAAATTAGATATGAGGAGAGCCTTGGATAGATTTTCTTTCTCTCTTTCTTTTTCTTTTTTTGGAGGCAGCTCTTTAAACAGGTGCAGGGAGTGAATAATGTGCCACTCCTAAACTGTGTGATTTAGCCAATGAGCACCAGGCTTCTCCTTGGTCTTATAGCATGGTTTCCCTGTCCGTCAAGAGCTGGCTCGGCAACCAAACCCAGATTCCAGGTGTGGTATTCCACAGTCATTCTGTAATTTGTAATCATAGAAACAGAACGTTCCTCCTCTTATTTCTTCCTTGCCAACAGTTTCTGGGTGGGTGAATGTCAGTAGCTGGAGTTATTTTTAAAGAGGAGAGGTGAGGCTTGTCGTGCGAAGCTGGGAAGAGGGCGTTTGTTTGCAGAACAGAGCTGACATCAAAGTGTAGATTACTGCTCAGTGGCTAGGCACTTGTCCTATAACAGGTAATGTTTAACGTGCCAGTCACAAAGATCACAGAAGCAGTGTATGCTTGCACATAAGATAGCACTGCCTTTTATGCTCTGGAAGACTGAAAGGCTATTTGTGCCCATGTATTTTTTTTCCTGATATATGTTTGGATGGGTCTTGCTGCCGTCTCTTTTGCTGACTGTAATTGGACTTTGAAGCTGGGAAGTTGTATCATAAAAATTTGTAACCTTTGAGAACGAGCTCGGCTAAGCATTCACTTTCCAATTCTTTTCACAGGATAATATAAACGTATTTTTGAAAGCTTGTGAACAGATTGGATTGAAAGAAGCCCAGCTTTTCCATCCTGGGGATCTACAGGATTTATCTAATCGAGTCACTGTCAAGTAAGTTTCATTGGTTTGTTATATATTTTTTTAAACTAGGACTTGCAGCTTAAGTGAAATAATTGCTGAGAGCTTGTGATTACTGAAAATTTGTTCTTCTCTGTCTTCCTGTGTTCTCATTCCGATTAGACTATTTAAAAAATGGCTCAGGGACTGTGAATGTGAAGTTGTCTGTAATTGGTAGCATTTCATAGTCTTATTGTAAATCTCTGTACTGACCAAAGTGGTAGTTCATATTTTAATGCTTGTCCAATGTGGTAGTGTTTGGTTACTTATGTGGAGCATATTCATTATATTTATCAAGTGTATTTAGAGATCATGTTATAGTTCACACAGTAAAAATAATTATTTTAAGATAGTTTTTCATATATTAGGAATTAAGATACATAAAAATTTTATGTTAACATAAAAAATTAGAGTGGGACAGTGGTGAAAAAAAACTTTATTAGTATTTGGAAGGTAGAAGTGCCTGAGACCAACATGTAATGCCTGTGAAGACCTTGTCAGTTGTTGCTTTTTAAAAAAAAAAAAAAAATGAACTGTTTCTCACTTTTTCAGTAGTTTGGACAAGAAAGCCAAAGTGGGCTTGAAAGCATGTCTGTAGGTATACTCTTGAAATTTAGGTGGAAAATGGTGTTCATATGTGAGTGTATGGTTTCAGGAACTCTGATTTTAAGCTCTTCTGAGATTGTTTTTCTATAAATTTAATTTGCTTTCAAGAAATCAGTAATAAACTCATGTTGCCAGATAAATGTGACAGGAAAATTGTTTAATTTTTTAATGATAACTACCTCCATACCAGGGCTCTTAAGCCTAACTAACATTTTTCCAAGTGAGGAAATAAATACTTTGTTCTATCTGTAGAGATAATGAAAGTAAAACAAATCAGTTTATACCGATTTAGACAAAGATTTAGTTTATGTAGTTAATAGTCTCTGGATAGTGGCTTCAGTGTTCATTAAAAACTGAGTATAAAAATCTTAAATATGGCCATTTTTTTAAATGAAGGAAAATAACTACATAAATATTTTTGATCGTATACAGTGTCTTCTAATAGTACAATCTAAAATCTCAGGTAGCATTAGCTTTTAAAGTCTAACAGTACATATTTTTAAATGAGCAGTTTCAAACATACCTGCTTCTGTATCTGTTGAATGTTTTTCTGATTCTATGGCAGCGATATGTGCATGTCAGGGAAGAGTTTGCAGTTTTGATTAATTGAAAGGTAGTTGAGATATCCTAAGTTTTATTACTGAAATGTTTCCTTCTGTAGTATGTGAGGTTGTGTTTAATGTCCATGAAAAAAATTTTCTAAATGCATTTGTTCTATTTTTCCTAATCAGCATATTCTTTCACAGCTGATAGGCAGAGAAACTTTAGATCTTAAAAGTCATCTTTTGCTTGAGTTGTTGGTGTCAATTAAGAATAAGATTGCTTTCCCCTGAAATCCTATTGTTTTGAAACTCTGCATCTTATATTTGAGTAGGCTAAGGAATAGGCAAAACATGTTTGTTGGTTCCTAATTTCAAGTGTGCTATGTACCAAGCTTTCTTGGAGCTTATTTCAGGAGCTATTGGGTCTGAAATGTTTAAGAAAAATCAGTATCTGGGTTCAGCCTTTAATGAAATTAAATTACTGGCAAAGTGAAACCGAGAGGTCACGTATTTACAGCTGTAGTAAGAAGTATGCAGAATAACTTGTTTCAGTGGAAACCACAAGTCTATCAAAGCAAGGTGTGCCTCAGTCTTTCCAGCAAGGATGCCTGAGCGAGAACTTTGAGTAAGAACTTTTCCCCTGATCATTGGGATGAAGGGACGACTGGTTGGCTCTGGGTCTGCCATTTCCAGAGCCCTGGAGCCTCCCAGCTGAGACACAAGAAAGCTGGCAAATGACTTCTTTAAAAATGTTGGCTAAACTCTTATGCCCTGAGACAGCATTTTTATTAAAGGAAGCAGGTTTAAAGGAAAGCAAATAATTGCTTACTGAATAGTAATGCATTGTAGTTTTTAGTTTTTGTTCTTATGTGGAGGCTCCTATAGGTCAAATATTGTCCTATTATTATTGTAGATTAAAGGACTTGATTAGGTCAGTAGTTCTCAATGGGAGGCTGTTTTGCCTCCTTGGGGACACTTGTCAATGTTTGGAGACACTTTTAGTTGTCATAGCTGGGGAGGGGTGCCACAGGCATCCACTGGGTCAGGGATGATGCTAAATACTCTTGAGTGCAAAGGACAGTCTCAATAATGAAGAATTTTTCTGATAATGCTGGAGTTGAGAAACTGGCTTAGAATTCCATACTTGAATCCTCTTTGCCAGCAAGATAGCCATGTGGAAATGAAGGATACTGACAGTGACAGACTTTTGACACACTATTAGAATGCAACTACTTGTAGGTAGGTATATAGTAATTGCTCCATTTTTGTGTTACGTTTATTGTCTATTTTCTTTTGTTTTTTGGAGGGTGTATCAGGGATTGAACTCGGGCACTCAACCACTGAGCCAAATCTCTAGCCCTATTTTGTATTTTTTTTTTTTTAAATTAGAGAAAGGGTGTCACTGAGTTTCTTAGCACCTCGCTAAATTGCTGAGGCTGGCTTTGAATCCATGATCCTCCTGCCTCCCCCTCCTGAGCTGCTGGGATTATAGGTGTGCGCTACCTCGCCTGGCTTATTATCTATTTTAATATGAAGGCTTATTGTGATTTATCTGAGCATGTGTATAAATACTTTGAGATTATTTTGCTCATCTATACATTCAGTTGAACCAACATGTGTCAAGCTCTGATTATTTTAAATGGTCTGTCATTATTCAGCTACTTAAGTTGCACCTAACAGTGTATAGAGCCGTCATTGGCCTCATTGCAAGTGCAATGTAACCGTGCCATACTGAGAGCAAACAGGAATGGATAGTTGATATTATCCTCTGTGCTGGTGAACTTGAGGTGCTTTTTGTTAGTGTGTGGAGAGAATAAATATGGAGTGGGTGTGTGCAACCTGGGAGAGTTGTGTGTTGAGAATAATAGCAGAAGTTGCTAGTAGATAACTTCAATAATTCAGGCCCTTAAATAAAACTGTTTTCCAGCAATTTGAGACTTACAGTTTAACTTTTCACAAGTGAAACAAAACCAGAGTACACTTTATATGTCTGTAATTATATATACTTACATATGCTTTAATTTTCTGATTTATTTTACATTACAGGAAGTAGTAGTTTGAATTCTTCCTATGTTCGAATGATTCCATTCATTTTGGTATTTCATCTATTCCAAGAGTCAATTGCCACTTTTAATTTTGAGATCTTTGATTTAATGGATAGGATCCATCTTTACATTCTTTCTTCCCAATAGCAAATTTGTGATTTATTCTCCATAGGGGGTAGACGGAGGTCTGTTCCATTCTAAGGGTGTGAAATTCAGCTTACATTGTAATAGCCATTTACTGAATTTAACATAGACATCCATACTGAATTTATCATACACAATCCACAGAGAGTAGGTGGTGTGACCTTCACAGAGCTGTCTATGCACACCTTCTGTAAAACATCTGTAGAAGATTAAGTACAGTGACCATATGCACATGCCACTGCATACTGGGGACCTGTGAGAGCAAATGTCATGGTCTCTGTAGTGGCATCTGGTCATTGATAGAAGTTCGGAGCAATTGCTTATAGGTGAAAGTAACTCAACAGGGTAGGTCAGAGGTCCTCTATTGGTGTACTCAGAGTTGGAAGAAAGCTAGAAACTTAACATTAACAATTTTATTTTTACATGTTTAGCAACTTATCTTAGAAACTATGTCCTGTATTGAAACTGTTGCTTTAACAGATTTAAATCTAAATTTTTAGGTTGAGAATTTGAACAGATTGTAAACATGTTTTTACTTTCCACCCCCTTACTCTTTCAATCCAGCTTTTTTAGCACTTCTTCAGATACATTCTGTTCATAATATAATTACAGGATGGCAGTTTTTTGGAGCACAATATATTTCAGTCATTCAAATAAATTATTTTCTGGTAGAGACTTACTCTCCACCATTATTTAGGGTATTAATGTTTTAAGTATAAAATGTAACTTTAATAAACATTGATATTGACTAAATTATTAAAATGTACTAAAGTGAGGGTACAGAAATTAACAATCTGTCTTTACATGTGCTAGTTGCCAAAGGAACAGTGGTTGGAAGCAAAATTAGTGTTGACATTTTCCATCATGAAAATAAAGGAGGCTAAAAATGATATTTTAAAGATGGAAGTGTTTCTAAAGCTTCAAAAGGGTGCTTGATTTTTGTGGCAATGCTGTAAGTCATTTCTTAGGAGTCAGGTTCCCAGATGACAACCTTTTCTAACAGTTTCTCAAATTGAGCTTGATGGGTGTGAGTGTATTAAGGTTTACTCATGCAAGTAAAAATATACTTATTTTGAGTTCTTTAATTTCTGCCCTTTTCTGATTTAATCTAGATATATATATATATATATATATATTTTATATAAAATATATATATATATTTTATTTCCCAAATCTGTGTCTTTCAAATGAATTTTTCAACATTTTAATTTTTTTTTTAAAGCAAGGTTAATGATCCGGTCTTGGATCTGTACCTTGAACATGGTGAATTCCACCTGCCAATTCATGTTATTATTTTCAAATGTTCCCTTACTATCATCTTGTGAGAAGGGAAAAACAGAAAGGAAGCTCATTGTACTGTATACATTTCTGTCCCATTCAGCCATTCTTTGGGGATAGGGATTTACTGGGAGGGGACATTAATTCTTCAGATGTCTGAGCTTCTGTTAAAGGCTAGTAGCAAAAATGTGTGGCCCAGTTTGTAAATGCTCTTTTAATTGCATAGTTTGACTGTCCAAGAGTCTTAGGTGCAAAGAAAAGTTGTGGAATATGAGGCAGGTCTGGGATAAGCTATAGCAGGACTGAAATTTTAATTGTGTCTGTTTTCTTCATTTCAAGTTCTTAATCTATTTCTCAGATACACAAGTTTCTAGATGGC